ACCCATCCCGATTACCCCAGTCACCGAATCAATCCATCTCATAGAGCGTCTTCCCCTCCTGCATCGTCCCTCCACCCTCCCAAGCATGATGTCCCTCTCCAAGGACCCGTCCCTCCTGGCAATATGTCCAAAGTATGTCAGACGAAGCAATGCATATGTTTGTATAGCTAATGAAATCAAGGATATCATGCTGATGTCAGAGGAATCCTGGCTTAAAGCAAAGAATACCAGAAGAACATCTATTTGTGCTTTATTGACAATGCAAAGGTATTTAACTAAGTGGGTCTGGGGTATCAGAACCCTTGAAAATTGGCTTATCTAGCTGTTGTGTTAACTCCCATTGCAGGGATGGAGGAATGGTCTCCAGCTACTTTAACTGCAGACACGTGGTCTTGCAAATCAACACCTGTGGGACCAATGTAAGAGAATGCTTCCCAAACCATGTGAGACAGTGGTGGAAAGACTGTGAAGACACTGTGAGAGGCTGTGGCAAACAGTGAAGAGACTGTAGGACTGCTGTGAAGATATTGTAGCCAAGGTGTAACCGGAGGAAGCCTGGAGATGAAGGCCACAGTTAAAGGTTTTGCTTACTAGATGACTGAAAGAAAAGCCGACTTGTAACTGCTCTGAGATAAATCTTGCTGGATGCTTGAGGAAATCAGAGACTTCTTGCATTTGTGCCATTGAAATGAACCTAGATTTTCACTAATTGAGGAATCGGGCCTTGTTAATCTGGCTTTTGACTGCTGGACTAAACCTGGACTTGCATTGTAAGATATTCTTTGCCTTTTTTACTCTTCAACCTATTTCCCTAATAAGCCCCAAAACTGTAAGTAAAGTCTGTGAGGCTTGCAGTGAATACCAGTCCCAATAGGTACAAAAGCACATAGGGTGGGAAGTCTGACTATGTAGCTCTTTGTACAGAACTATGGATATAATTGGGGTGACAGTTCCTCTTTATGAAGCAGACAGAAGTCAGACTTGGCTACCTTCATGTTGCATCTGCTTCTTTATAAGAAATTATGATTAACACTGAGATGAATGAGAATCCAAGAACACTTAGTTGTGCTCATAAAAAACATAAACCTATACCAAGAAGCTGTTGAAAGAACGAAAAAAGCTGTTGTTGTTGTTGTTGTTAGATCCAGTTGAGTTGAGTACAACTCACAGCAACACTATGAACAAAAGATCTGAACCCTGTTCTACTCTGTGCCATCCTTACACTTCTGGACACACAAGAGCCCACTGCAGCAGTCACATTGTCAATCCATCTGGTTGAGGGTCTTCCTCTCCTTTGACAACCCTCGACCCTTCCCAGAATCTCCTAGCAACATCTCCTAGCAACATGCCCAAAGTATGTGAGGCAAAATCTCATCATTCTTGCCTCCAAAGAACATTTCAACTGTACCCTCTCCAAGACATATCTGTTTGTTCTCTTGGTCTTCCATGGGATGTGTAGTGCTCCTCTCCCATACCACAGCTCAAAGGCATCAATAGTTTAAAATTAAGAAAGGCATGTGTCAAGGTTGTATCCTTTCTCCATACCTATTCAATCTGTATGCTGAGCAAGAGTCTGGACTCTGAAAAAGAATGTGGCTTCAGGATTGGAGGAGTACTCATTAAATCTTCGGTATTTAGAGAGCATAACCTTGCTTGTTGAAAGTGAGGAGGGCTTCTAGAGTTTTTCCAAGCTTTTCTCTAATGACATTTATAGTCTTTGGTTTTACTCCTAGGTCCTTGATCCATCTTGAGTTGGGTTTTGTATATGGTGTGAGGTGTGGGTCTTGCTTGAGTTTTCTACAGAGAGCTTTCCAATTTTACCAATACCATTTGTTAAAACGGCTGTCATATGTACAACAACAGCCCAGAAAAAAAAAAAAAAAAGAACTGGGATCAGGAGAGGAACGTAATTGTGCAACAGTGAATAAAGTGAACTGGGGTGGGGAGGGAAAGAGAAGGGGTAAAATATGCAACAATGAATGAATGAAAATTTAACCACTCTGCAAACATTTATTAAAATCACTATTAAAATAAAATTACATTAAAAAAAGAAATTGAGGAGGACTTGAAACATTTGCTGCAAAAGATAGAAAACTTCCTTTGATAAAAGCCTTCCTTGGATATGGATTGCATTTCAATGCTAAGAAAACAAAAATTCTCACCACTGAACCAGTAGGAAACATCATGAGAGGCAGAAGAAAAAAAATTGTAACTGTCCACAGCTTGTTTCTTACTTGGATCCACAACCACTATACTTGATACCAGCAGTCATCTCAGGAAGCATATTGTCCTGGGAAAGTATGTAGGAGGGACCTCTCCAAATTATTGAGGAGCAGTGGTGTTCATTTGAGGACTGTGATGGACCTGGTGCAGACCCGGGCTTTTTCAATCACCTGCTATGCCGTTGAGAGCTGGCTGTTTCAGATTCATAGGACTTTTTGTTGTTCTTTTTATCATTTTATTTTGTATTTGTTAAAACATTTACAATGTTTCCTATCGAACTGTGATTTGACCATAGAAGGCTGTATGGAAAGTTTATATGATTTTTTTTATTAATTTCAATGAAAATTTACAGAGACTTTGGATTTCCATTCATTCATTTTTGCACTTTTCTCCCTGCCCACCCTACCCCACCCCCAGTATACTCTTCTCTTTGAAAAGTAAAAAAAAAAAATTTTCATTGTTTTACAAACCCTCCCCCAGGTCCACTCCACTATGCAGCCTTCACTCTGGACTCCTGTCATGACAATAATACCTAATCACATATCCCTTTTAAACCGTTTCCTCCCTCATCTGTTTCAATGCAGTATACATTATTGAACCCATCTTTCTCAGTCTCCGCCATGCCCCAAGGTCAGTTCTGTTTTACAATAGTGGTACCATTCAGTATTTGTCCCTTTGTGACTGGGATACTTCACTCAGCATAATGTCCTCCAGGGTCACCCGTTTTGAATAATATTGCATGAGTTCCTTGTTTTTCAATGTAGCGTAGTATTCCGTTGTGTGAATATACCACAGCTTCTCTATCCATTCGTTTGTTGATGGGCACTTAGATTGTTTCCAACTCCTTGCTATTGTGAACAAAACCACAATAAACATGGGTGTGCATATATCTGCTTGGGTGGCAGTTGTGGCCTCTTTGGGGTATATTCCCAATAGTGGAATTGCTGAGTCAAATAGTATCTCTATTTGCAGCTTTTTGAGAAAGCGCCATACAGCCTTCCATAGTGGTTGCACCATTTTACACTTCCATAAACAGTTAGTAAGGGTTCCAGTTTCTCCACAACCTCGCCAGCATTTGTTGCTTGTTGTTCTGTTAAATTGTGCTGTTCTTACTGGGGTGAGATGATATCTCATAGTTGTTTTGATTTGCATCTCCCTTAGAGCTAGGGATTTTGAACATTTCTTCATGTGCTTGTTGGTCATCAGATTGTCTTCTCTGCTGAAGTGCCTGTTCATATCCTGTGACCATTTTTCAATTGGATTATTTACCTTTATCTTCTTGTGGTGCTCAAGTATTTTATAAATTCTAGATATAAATCCCTTATCTGACATGTCATTACCAAATACTTTTTTCCAAGTCTGTACCTTCCCTTTTTACCCTGTTGGAGGTTTTGGATGTGCATAGGGATTTGATTCTTAGAAGGTCCCATTCATCTATTTTATCTTCTCCTGGTTGCAGATTTTTCAAGATATTTGGAAGACTGTTTATGTTGTGGATTAGGACTTCTAGAGTTCTTCCAAGACTTTCTTTAAAGAAGTTTATAGTCCTTGGTTTTAGTCCTAGGTCCATGATCCACCTTGAGTTTTTGTGTATGGAGTGAGTCTTGCTTGAGTTTTTTGCAGATAGTTTTCCAATTTTGCCAACACCATTTATTAAAAAGGCTGTTGTTTCTCCACTTAATTGATTTCAACTTCTTGTCAAAAATCAGTTGACTATAGGTAGACGGGCTAATTTCCTGGTTCTTAATTCTATTCCATTGATCTATGTGTCTGTCATTGTACCAGAACCATGCTGTCTTAACCACCACGGCAGTGTAGTAGGATTTGAAATCAGGGAGTGAGATGCCTCCTACGTTTTTTTCTATTTTTAAGGAGCGCTTTGCTTATTTGGGGCTTCTTTCCATTTCAAATGAAACTGGAGATTGCCTTTTCCATCTCATTGAAGAATGGGTTTGGTATTTGTATTGGAATTGCATTAAACGTGTAAATTGCCTTTGGTAGTATTGCCATTTTCACAATATTGAGTCTTCCTATCCATGACAAGGGATATTTTTCCACTTCTCCAGGTCTCTTTTTGTTTCTTGTAGTAATGTTTTGTCATTTTCTTTGAATAGATCCTTTGTGCTTCTGGTTAGACTTACATCCAAGTATTTAATCTTGTGATTAGCTATTGTGAAGGGTATTGTTTTTCTTAGCTCCGGCTCTGTCTTCTCTTATATGAATCTTCTTATAGTAAAATAACAGTCAAATTCTTAGGACTGGAACTACTACTGAGAAGTGAGACTCCTTCACAGAAGCCTCCCTCTCCAGTGGAAATGCTAGACCAAGTAGAAAAACTTATCATGTGTGTGACAGCTTGTGATCCAAAGCAGAAGATGGGTGACACTGTAGCAGTGTCTCTGCAAACCTCCAAAATGCAGAAAAACTGTAAAAGTTCTGTAAGAATGCAGAAAAATTGCAAATTTGTTTTTTACATGGTTTTACGAACTTTTAAGTAAACACATTCTAAACAAATCCAAGCAGATCTTTGTCATCTTACTTGTCATTGTGCTCCAACGCAGCTTTCATGGCCTTGATGGTCACCTTCAGCTCCTCCTTGGCCTGGACCACATCAGCTGTCTTCATGGACCTCTGCTTCAGCTCCTGGATGTGAGTCAGCAAAGCCTAGAAGACAAAGCATGCAGAGAGGACAAGCCATCCACGCGCTGTGAGCTGCTGGGGTTACTACTGCACATTCAAGAGGCCCCTGATTCAAGGGAAAGGAAGTAAGTGAGAGGAACATTGAAAGTAGTCAAGCGAAATTCTGAATAACATAATTTCTTTCAAAATGTAAGGTTCTCTTTTACTAAGAAATGTTTTAAATGCTGGAGTGTTTCATTGTAGCTGAGGAGGATGTGCTGGTGACAATGCTTCTCATTAATTACTGTTCTGCCTCACTCTTCATTCTGCTACATTACAGATGGAAAGTGTTAATTCAATTACTACACACAGAGATCGAGCGAGGTTATACACAGAGGAGGGATGAGGAAGACCCCTGCTTGTGAGCATGGTGGTCTTTGCTCAGCTTTCAGAATTTAGTGGGGAAAATTCTCTTTAGGAAACAACAACAACATCAAAAACCCCAGAACCCTGTAAGCTTGGGAATTCTTTCACCAGAATTCATATATGTTTGGTTGACATGTGTGTGCATGTCTTCCTCTGTGATTAAACCTCAGAAAGTAAGGAACAATGTAGATTCCCAAGTGAGATCTTTGCTTGTTCCTTTTAAAACAACACGCTTATATTACTGCTAAATAAAGAAGTGAAAAGCAAAGAAAAATCACACACTGATTTTGCTTTAAGAAGGAAGTCCATCCCTACTTTCTTGTGCAGCTCTGACTTTGTCTCATGTAAAGAAACACTATTTTCTGATTTATACAATAGCCATTTCAAGTGTAATTGAACACAGGGTCTGAGTAAAGGGATGTGGTTCCACAGTTGGACACTACCTTGTTCTGGGCTGTAGTCTGGGCTTCCAGAAGAATGATCATGTACAGTTCGTATTCATTCTGAACAAGAAAAAGAAAACAACGCCATTGGCACATGTCAGGGAACAAAACAAAATGGAGTATGTGTGGGGCAACTAGCATGATCCCAATAAACGTAAATGTCCCTACAATGTATTCAATGGACCTGGCAGAGCAGTGGGTTAAGGGTTGTGCTCCTAAGCCAAAGGTCAGGGGTTTGAATCTTCCATCCCTCTCCGTAGACCAATCCATAGGTCAAATACGAAGCATCTAATTCTCTTCAGAAATTCAGCCTTGGAGATCTGATAGAGGGAAGGTCTCCACATGTCAGAAGACTTGATGGCTGTGAGTTTGGGTTCGTAAAAAATTATTAAGCGTTGTTCTTGTTGTTAAGTGCTGTCAAGTCGCAGGCGACTCATAGCGACCCTATGAAGGAGAGTCCTCAACGCTTGGGTGCCTTTCATCCTCTCTCCAGGTTCATAGGGTTTCCGGAGGCAAGCTATTATGGAAGTGGATGCCACTCCTCCTTCCACACTACAAGGATAGGTGAACAAGAAATAAAATCTATTAACAATCATGACATCACAAGCAAAAATAACTACATTTTTTTTTCTAAAAAGTCCCATTTAATTGCTGAAAACTGCCTATGCAATCTTAAAGTCCCATAAGAATAATGCTCTTTGTTGTTTTTGTTAAGTGCCATCGAGTAGTGGACAACTCACAGCGACCTGATGAAGAGCTGACCTGAACCCTGTCCTACCCTGTGCCACTCTCATCATCTCTGGGCAATATCACTGAAAAAAAAAATTAACACTTGGCACCCTTAACCATATTTGAGTATTAACTACTGATTTCCTCAGAATATTTGCATTTATATAAAATACCTTAACATAACAATGACCTCCTGCAACAGTAGAAGCCTAGAAACATGGGACTAATGGACAGTTGGATGGAGAAGGCCATCCACTTATGAGGACTTTATCTGGAGACATATCTGTTTGCTGCCATTTTTAAGTAATTCTCAACACAGGCAGCAAACTGAAGGGAGGAAAGACTGAAGTAGTTAATGATTTCACTTTACTTAGATCAATAATCAACACCCATCATAGGGGTGGTTAAAAAATAAAAAAATACTATATTTTGTATAATATAATAAATAATATATTGTGTTGCATTGGGCAAATACGATGTCAACGACGGCTTTAAAGTACTAAAGGGAAATGATCTTAGTTTAAAGACTCGGGTGCACCTCAAGTCAAGGTATTTTCAACTGAACAATGAATAAGGAAGATCAAGGCCAACTTTGTCTTTGAATTGAGACACTGGCAAAAGGTTCTGAATATGCCATGAATTTAAAAAAAACAAAATGCAAGAAAACTCCAACCAAAAAAAAAAAACCTAACCGCCACCAACACCACAACCAAAAAAAAGTGCAACCAGTTTTCTTAGAGACAATGTTGATGAAACGTCATCTCCCAGATTTTGGGCATGTTTTCAGGGGGTACCTGAAAAGTATGGACTGAGACTCAATGTCAAGAAGACAAAGATTCTCACCACTGGACCAATTGACAGCATCAGGATGGATGGTGAAGAGACTGAGATTGTTCCGTTTGCTCGGCTCCTCGGCTCCACAGTCAACACTCTTGGCACCAGTAGCCAGGAAATTAAAAAATGTATTGCGATGGGAAAGTCTGCTGTTAGGGACCTCTCTAAAGTACTCAAGAGCAACGGTATCTCTCTGGAGACCAAGGTGCACCTGATACGGACCATGGTCTTTGCAATCACTTGTTATACATCAGAGAGTTGGACAATGACTAGGGAGGACAGAAGGAGAGTTGATGCCTTTGAGCTGTGGTGCTGGAGAAGAGTATTGAATGTACCATGGACTGCAAAGAAAACAAAGAGATTCAGCCTAGAGAGGGTTAAACCAGGCTGTTCCTGGGAGGCAAGAATTCTGGGCTTCATCTGACATACTTCGGACATGTTGTAAGGAAGGACCAGTCCTTGGAGAGGGACATCATGCTTGGTAGGGTGGAGGGACAGTGCAGGAGGGGAAGACCCTCTATGAGATGGATTGATTCAGTGACTGGGGTAATCGGGAGGATAGAGCAGGGTTAAGGGCTATTGTACATAGGGTCGCTATGAGTTGCAAACGACCCAACGGCACATAACAATAACAACAACAACAACCCGTCCTTAGAGAAAAGTGTCACACCAGGAAAAGTAGAGTTTCAGCAACAAAAGAGGAAGACTCTCAGTAGGATAGATTGACAGTGCCTGCACCCATGAGTCTGAGCAAGCTGGAAATGTGCGGATGGCACAGGGCAGACAAGGCTCTGAGCTCTTGTCCGTAGGGTCACTGTGAGTCATGGCTGAGTCGGCAGAACCCAGCAACATCATCAGCAACATAGAGAAAAGCAGGACATGCCAATAATCTGATTTCAACTCAAAATTTTTTGCATGCCCACCACTGTGAAACGTTTTGAACTGAGAGTGTAAAATGTCCCTGTTTCAAATTCTAATTCAACTACAAAGGAGCCAAAATTTCAAAATCTAAATTAATCCTAGAACTTCTGGAATCGTGAAATCTGGAAGGAATTCCAAAAATTCTTTCTCAGAGACAACTGTTAAACTTTCCATTTTAAACAAAATATCTTTCCGTCAGTCTGCTTTGAACCCAGTAACAGTGTAGCCTAATACATGAAGTATGTCTGCCTAAGGCACCGGGCTGCCTCAAAGACCTAGTTATGTGAGCTCAAAGTGACAAGAGCATCTCTGATCAGCTGCGAAGGTTGGGGACACTGACTTTACATTAACGGTGGTGAAATAATGTGGGAAAGGATAGTGAGAAGGCTGACAGAGCTGGAATGCAAACAACGTCTCTGAACATTGAAATAAGGGGTCTCTTTTGTTATGTCACAGAGCTCTGGTGGCCTGGCTCACAAGGTGTTGCCTTAACCCAAAGTGGGTGCCTCTCTGGTCCAAATCCCTCAGAGGCTCCTCAGGAGAAATACGGGCAGTCTCCTCCCTCCGAGAACCAGCCGGAGGGTCAGCTGGGAGTCAGTTCTGACTCGATCGCAGAGAGTGTGAGCACTGTAATTTTGTTATGCTGATTAGGTCACATTGATATAGTATGGATCCTATACCTCATGTCTTCTGAGGAGTGTCTTCTAAAATGAGCCAAGCCGACAGACAGAAGCATAGGGGAAGAGACCAAGCCTAAGACTTCCCAACTCTTGCCAGAAGTCAGTATAAAGGCTCCTGGAAGGTACCAAGGAGGAAATCTTGATTTGCACATTTCATCTCTAGAAATGTCATAAAAGAAACAGATCTTTGAAGCCACCCTTGGAGATAAGTTTTGTTTCGGTAGCTCCCGGCACCTGAGAGTCACTTGTGTCACTGAAATTATGACTATCCTGCTAATCCCTAACTCCAAAGGCTTCGTGTGAATACACATTTGTACACTTACGGAATCTTCTATCACACCTGTGTACAATTTACCACAGGTGACACACAGGCTGGTTTTTCCTGCGAAGACCCATTCCTCTCCCTGGCCTTGAGGGTGCTCCTCTCTGTTCTCGCTGATCGAGTGGGGACCCCATCACTCGGCAGAGTTTCGGTGCCACCCAAGGTGAAGTACACAAAGGTCTTCCCAGGTCTCAGTGATTACGGGAAAATGTGTTTTACCTTAATTTCTTTCAGGAGATCACCAAATATCAAGGAACTATTACAAATATCTTCAAAGACGTTTCCAAAGACCTGCAGCCGATTCCACTGAGGTGTGTGGCACAAGCAAACCTTCTGGAGTTCCTGCAGAGGACAAAGAACCAGGGTCCCTCCTCTCAGGACAGAGCATCGCGGCCGAGGAAAGCTGGTCACCAGGACACTGACAGCCCCCACCCCGGTCTTGTTCTCTACCTTTATTTGCTTAACTCTCTGCAGAACTCCACCCTTCTGCCTCGACCATACCCACCTCCTGTCTCTTGTCCTGCAGACCTAGCAACTAAAAAAACCTCACCAAAGTTTGGTGGTTACCAATCTAGACTGCTCTTTTGAATTCTTTCCCAGATTTTTATCCTTTAAAATAATACGTCTCCAATCACTATGCCCTACTCATAGCCTCCCACCAGGTCACAGTGGGGCTTCATGTCCCCTTGGTTAATCGTGTGGGGTGCTGGCAAGTCCATTTCGTGTCATGTGACCCTGCTGACCTGCAAGGTTTTCCAAGGTGTAATCATTATGGGAGCAAATCACTGTCCTTTCTCCAGCAAAGCAGCTGTGCGGGTTTGAACCACCAACTCTCTAGTAAGTAGTAATTGAGCATTTACCTGTTGCACAGCCTTCCTGCTTCATCTGATGGCTTTCTTAGAGATAGTGGCACTCTGGGCACACCTGACCTCGTTACTAAACTCACCAGCTCCCTTTATCATTAACGCTCTCTCAGCCTCCATGTGTGGCCCAGAGGGTCAAGCCCTTGACTGCCCACTGAAAAGCTGGCAAACAAAACCCAAGACAGGCCTACAATCTACAACAGAAAAGGCACTGTTTGAAAATCCTAATTTTACTCGGCACGTACTGGGCCGTCATGAGTTGGAATTCACTGGAAGGAAAAGAAGGAATCGCACTGCCGATACAAAGGCACACGGTTCGAGCCCACCAGCTGCTCTTCCAGAGGAAGATGGGCAGTCTCCTCCCGCACAACTGACTGCATCTGAAACCCTGCTGGAGGATCAGCTATGGGTTGGTTCCAACTCGATGGGACAACGAAATCATAATGAGTTTATCAAAGCCTTGCCCAGATCCCTCTCTTATTGCACAAGGATGCCATTCATTGTCGTTGCTTTATAACAGCTAATGCTTCCCATAACCAAATCTCCTCCCCTCACCAGCCATCCTCTCACAGTCTCCGGGACCTGGCCGTTTCCATGCACTGCTCACACCATATCCTTTCAGCAGCTGGAGCTCTGCTCTATGACCCGTGGCAATGCGCACCCATGATGCCACGTGGATCAGCCTCTGCCCGCAATACCTGGTCTCCTTGAGCTGTGGCACAGACGCTGGTCACACCAGGAGACTGTCCTTACCTGCTCCAGCTTCTGTTCATGGTGTATCGCTGCTTTGCTCCCAGTCAAGTCTCTCAAGTGAAGATCGTCCTTTGCAAGGATGTCTTTTTGGAATGACAGGAACTTCTTATATCTGTCAGCCTTGGTTATACCAGTCAGATAGGAGTCCACATACTTGTAGTCATCGCCGCTGGGAGCAGACGTCACACACTGGCGGCTGGACTGCACGGGCTTGTACTTCAGAACTCTCATCTTGGACAATTGCAGTCCTTCTCTCTTTAGCTGTTCTAACGACACATCGCTTATCTCCTCTTTCTCTTCTTCCTTCAGGATGGGGCGTCTTTTTGTAACATCCGGGTGGGAGCCGGGAGCCTTGGGATGCAGGTACCTGAACAGAGGTGTGCTTTGATCCTCATACGGAACCAGACTAGTGTTGATGGTAAAATGAGCCAATGCATCCTTCATCTTTGCCACCCTCCTGCCCAGCGACCTGTCTCTGGACACGGTGTCCTTCTTTGGCCTGTTAGCATTGGCCCAGTGGAACAAGATCGTTTCTGGAGGCTTGTAGAGTTTGTTGGGATTTAGGTGCCCAGAGGTGTAAAGGTAGACATCATGTTTGTGTTCTTTTTGAATCTTATTCAGAAGCTTGTTGAGGTTGCACAGGGTCTTCACGCCTGGTATTTCACAGTGTTTCCACTTCAGGTAAGCTGTTCAGAATAGATAAAAAGATTAGTCATCAGCACTCTCAGATGTGCCCTAAAAAGCCTGTTTCTTACCAGGTGCACCCCAAAGAGGCTGCTCCTCACCAGATGCAGTCTGGAAGACTGTACCTGGCCCAGCAGTTAAAGAAAACAGTGCCACATCGGTCTAAGGTGTTCCTACATCAAGGCACACTCACACTCACATTGGCATTTCCTATGACAACTAGAAACTCAAGGTTTCTGAATGAAGACCTTTGAAATAGGTGAGACTTCAGAGAAAGGTATCATGGAGTATCTCTGGCAATGTTAGCAATCTTATGGCCCAAAATTTGCAAACTGTAATCTTAGAAACTGCACTGCGGTCCCAAAGGTACATGGTTCGAAGATGCCAGATGCTCCGTGGGGGAAACATGGGCAATCTCTTCCTGTGCAATTTCCTGCCTCTGAAAACACCCTGGAGGGTCACTTCTGAGTTGGTTCTGATTAAGCAGCACAGACCAACAACCCTCCAACGTGCTGAAGAGCAAGGATGCTGAAGACTAAGGTGTGCCTCAACAAGCCATGAGCTTTTTGACTATTCCAAGATTTCAACAGTAAATCAGGAGGACAGAAGAATTGATGCCTTTGAGTTGTCGTGTTGGATAAAAGCACTAAATATCCCATGAACTTCCAAGAGAACAACCAAATATGACTTGGAGAGGGTGCAGCCACGGCACTCCTTGAAGGAGGGATGGTGACACTTCATATCACATACTTTGGAGATACTGTTAGGAGGGTCCAGTCCTGGGAAAAGACAAAAGCTCAGAGAGGAGGAGGGTCGGACAGGAGGGGGAAGATTATCAATGGGACGGTCTGACACAGTGACTGTAAGAATGGGCTCGAGGACGACAGAGACAAGGAGGATGGCACGGGACGGGGGACGGTTTTGATTTGTTAAATAAAGTTGTTACTGAGAAACAACGATGACAGTGTAGAGACTAAGATGTGCGTGATCCAGGCCATGGTCTTTGTAGTCACTTGCTATGCAGCAGAGAGCTGGATGATGACTAAGGACGACAGAAGAAGAACCATTGCCTTTGAGTTGTGGCTCTGGAAGAGTCTTGAACATACCATGGACCACCAAGAATTAACAAATAGGTCTGTCCTGGAGAGAGCAAAACCAAGTTTCTACTTGGAGGATAGGATATAGAAGCTCCATCCACATACTCTGGGCTTGTGGCCAGGTGGGCTTAGCCCTTAAGGAGAAGAACATGATGCTCGGAAGGGTGGAGGGAGAGCACAAGAGTGGACGATCCCAGCTGAGGTGGATTGACACAGTAACTGGGGCAAAGGCGGTAGGTGTGTTGGAGTCAGTGAGACTGGCTCAGGACAGGGCAGGCTTCAGAGCTGTTGTACAGAAGGTCAATGTGAATTGCAGTGGATCCAACAGCACATAACAACAACAACATGAGTGACTGTTGATTCAACAGTACATACAACAACAACAACTGCACACAAGTGTTACTGTGATGCTGGAAGCTGTGACACTTGTATCTCAAATATCAGCAGTGTCATCCGTAGTGGACATCTTTCAGCTTCGAGACTGAGACAGACTATGAAGCAGGACTCGTCAGCCACTTCAGAAAAACGTAAGCCTATAGAAACAGAAGAAAATGTTTTGAAAATAATGCCAGAAGTAGAGCCCTTAGGATTGAAAAACACACACAAAAAATGAATATACACAGCTGAAAACATCATTGATAATTGAAACACTGAATATATAAAGCATAAATGTAGGAAAAGTGAAACAAAACACATAAAGACTGATATCCTAGGAATTGGCCATTTTTAATCAGACAGTTATATAGCCTGTGATGACTCAAATGACAAACTGAAGAGGAGTGGTGTATTCATTATGGAAAAGAGAATGTGAAGTCTATCCTCAAGCACAAAGCTGTGAGTGGTAAGATACTGGATATGTATACAAGGAAGGCCTCTTAACACAACTATCATTCAAAACACCAGCCACGAAAACCAAAGATGAAGAAATTGAGCACTTCGACCAACTTTTGCAGTCTGAAAATGATCAGATATGAAGTCAAGATACATTATAATAAAAACTGGTAACTTGGAAAGTTAAAGTTGGAAACAAGGGACACTAGTAGTCACCTTTTGTGGCAGAAATGAGGCTGGAGATTGAATGACAGAATTTTTGTACAACCATGTATAAATGGGGACTATTCACTTGCATCTTCGGACTACATAAGAATCAGATTCATCGCATCTGTGAAAAGAGTTGGAATAAAATGTCTTCATAACGACCTCTTGCCTTGTAATGAGTATTTGGTCTTTGGTCATTAGTGTTCAATACATAAATCTGTGCTTGAGATTTTTAAAAATTCTGGTGGGATATATTCAAGATCGTATTTTGGCTCTTGTGAACTTGTTTGAATTTTTCACCTTCAATTTGATCCACAGTTAGACCCTGGCCTTGCTCTCATTTCTGATTATGAATTTCCTCACTATTTTCACAGAAGCAATGAATCTGATTCTTATGTAGTCCATTTGATGTCCTTTTACAAGGACTGATCCTTTTTAACAAAGTGCCCAGAGTATGTACAACAACGTTTCACCATCCTGCCCTCTAGGAAGCACCTGGCTGCATCCTCCCAAAGGTATATTCATTTGCTCTCTTGGCACTCTATGCCAGCATCACAACTCAAAGATATCAATTCTTCTGTCATCTTTATTCACTGTCCAACTGTCTGACTCAAGGGTACACAATAATTTTTTTTTCCTTTACAATATGCTTTTAAAATTGAGGATTTCAACTTTGGACATTAACTTTATTTTAAGGCATTATGTTTATCGTAGGAGTACGCAATGAGGGTTGCAGAGTGGATTATATTTGGGGTTGGGGGTGGGATTGGGGGAGGTGCAGGGGGATTGTGTACCAATGAGGGAGTTTTTCTTTTGCTTTTTAGGGAGAGGAGCAAACTGGGGGGAGTGAGGTGGTGGGGGAGAAGGGTGCAACAATGAAGGAATGGAATTCCAAATCTCTGTAGATGTTCATTGAAATGAAAAATAAATAAATTAAAATATATAAAAAAGTATATTGATATGTTGTGTTGTTGATGGTGGTGGTGTTCTTAAGCACACTCACGGTGACCCTATGAACAAAAAGGTCTGAACCCTGTTCTATAACTATCGTCATTTCTCTAAGTTCATAGAATTTCCAGAGACGTATTGTTTAGGAAGTGGATGTGACTCTTGCTTCCAAATATTGATATGCTGGTACATACACTGGAAGATGGCCTGTAAGGCTAATAAGACAAAAAGATTCGTAGGAGAAAATAATTGAGTGTGCATTACTTTTTCCTTTCCAGGACATGTAATCTGACTTCTTTTTAAAAAATGTTTGTTGTTGTTTATTTACAAAGTTTGTAGACGTTGTTTTTCATGCCAGATTTTCCCACTTCCTTCATCCTCGCCTCCCTCCACCCATTATGCAACTCTAAGATTAACACGCACCCTCCACCCTGCCCATCCTCAGCCCTCTGCTCCCACTCCCCTGGTTCTCGGCTTGGACCGTCATACCTATACATGGACAGGGGCACATTTTCCCATTTCTTTAGGTCTTTTATTGTGTCTCACAAAAATATTCTGTAATTTCCTTTACACAGGTCTTTTGTATCTCTGTTATGTTCACTCCCAAGTATCTCAATTTGTGGTTGGCTTTGTAAATGGTATTCCTTTCCTGGATTCCTTCTCCGAGTCCTCTTTCTTACTGTAGAGGAGTCCCACTGAGTTTGGGATATTGATCTTGTATCCTGTCTAATGTGTATGTTTTTAAAGAATGGAGTTCATTGTTGAAAATTTATAGGAAATTTTAAGACTAAGTAAAATTTCAAAATTCCCGAGTTGCAGTAATAATAATGAATTCAATAGTGCCCTGTGCTGTCCCACAACTACCAGAGAGCTATCTCCTGACGTTGCTGACCATAGCAGTGTGCAGGCTGTGTCCACTGTGTCTTGGGGTCCATTTAGAGCTCTACTGACCAATGGGCACCCTGGTGGACATGTCCATAGGGAGCTGTGCTGTTAACCCAAAGGCAAGCACCTCTGTGGGGGTTCAAAGCCACCTGGGACTCCAGGGCAGCAAGAAGGGCAGATGGCAGCCCCTCCCACATGAATGACAGCCGCTGAAAAACCTCACTGCAGGTCAGACAGTGAGGGAGTGGTGACCAAGGGGACATTGTGGAATAGGGTGCTCAGAGAGGAAGCACAGGTGTGAGGAAGGGAGGGAGGGAGGAGAGAAGGACGGACAGACTGAAGGAGGGAGGGAGTGATCACAGTCACCATTGTGGAAACCTATGCTCTGCCAGGAAGCACAGCCGTTTGCAGGCAGTCACACGCTAACCCAGAGATGTCAAGGCCGGCTGTCGAGGATCCACCAGCCACTCCCCTGCAGAGCAAGGAACAGTCTCCTCCAGTCCTTTTCAGCCTAGAACGCAAAGTTATGGAAGGTCAGCTATGAGTAGGTTCTGACTCGGCGGCCACACCTTTGACACGAGTGCCTGGACTGTGAGCGACCGCCCACTATAGAAACCAGCTCCCCTTCCTCAAAGACAAATATTGCGGAAACTAATGTGAGTGGTACTTGGCTTTGAGAATTCTTCCTATTGGTTAGCTTACTGTTGTTGTTGTTGTTGTTGTTGT